CCAACAACACTTACCAATCTACTTTACAAGCTATATATATCTAATTGTGATCAAACGAATGCTAATATACGTGAATCATGTAAAGGCACTATTATAGCTCTTAAACCTATCTTTCAACTCTATATCCACAACATCCACACCATCCCTGGAATCGCTATATTAGTTGACCTGTTCCTTCCAGTCAACAAAACACGCCTTATCTCAGTCTACCTACCATCACCATCTACCTCCACACTCTTAACCTATCAACACCAAATCATCTCTTGGATTAATGATGGCCGCTCCCATAATATGAATCTAATCGTCGCTGGTGACTTCAATAGTAACACAAACTGAGCCAACTACCATATTCATAACCCACTCCTGCAACACCTAGCCACCTTGGGTTTTATAAGCTTACTTCAACTACACCACATAACTCAACCTACATGGACCAGAAATCAAATATCAAGTCAAATAGATGATATATGGATAAACCCTGAAATCGCACTCTCATTCACAACCCCTTGTCTTCAAGATCTCTGCAATATTACAGACAGCGATTACCAAATAATTAGCACAGAATGGCAGACACCCTCTTTACAAAAACAACCACATAGTAAGAAATAATATCGTAAAATATATAACTATGACAGAATAACAAAAGTAGATTGGGACGACTTCGCAAACTTTATCTCTACCACCTACAAGCAACAATGCATTATATGACACAAATTACAAATGAAGACCAGCTGAACCGTTCATTTAACATTCTCAATAATATCATTAAACAAGCGGCTAATAAATTCATTCCACATATCTTTAGTAGCCCTCGTATATTCTACGCACACTCCTTTAAAGCCAGTTCTTTCTATCGAGCACTAAAACATACTAACCACATATTCAACACACTTAATTATATTATCCCTTATAACCACATCATATACTTGCAACAATTAATAACATGCTCGACAAGGTTAACTTGCTTACCGAGGCAACTAGCCAACACTTACAATTAGCCAATTTTGAACCCAACACATATCCACACACAAAAACTTCTTTTAAACAACTCAAAACAACTCTCTACACCGCTCGTAACTTGGAAAATAACAGACAAAATTCAATACTACATCAATAGATGGTATACTAATTTCCAAAGCAACACAATGAAGATGATCGATAGTGTATTAGGCCGACATCACACTCTGATCACTTTTCACAACATCATAACACTGACTACAATTATAACCGATCTACAAGAAATCAAACAAGCAATAGAACAATACTTTAAACAATGGACCAAAAACAATCCCTACAATCCTGCCCTGTGGCCAGAATGAGAGCAATACTACGATCCAATTCCCTCAGCAACACTATCCACATATTCACAGCTGCTAGCAACAATTGAACTACAAAAAATTGAACAAACAATCAATAATGCACCAAATAACAAAGCTACCAGCCCCTCTACAATATCTAATGAAATGTTGAAGAAACTACTCAACGTAGCTATTGAACAACTAAAAAAGATCTTCAACGCATGTATTACACTACAAACAGTACCTAAGGCCTGGCATCATAGACTAGTCTGGCCGATACCAAAAAAGAGATACCAACCTGGCGACTTATTCCAAACTTGGCCAATCATATTGATCGAGCACATACAAAAATTTTTATTAAAATTCTCACTTCATGACTTAGCTCAATACTAGTACACGCTAATCTACTTGATCTTTCTAACAATGTCGCACTACTACTAACATCTACCCTCTAACCAATCCAGCACATAACCCATCTCTGCAAAAATGCTTATATTAATAACCATGAGCTTTGGATATTATTGCAAGATATGTCTAAAGCTTACAATACAGTCTATATACCTCTATTAGAAAAAGCCCTCCTAAAAATAGGAGTCTCTACCCAATTCTCAAATATCATTAACTCAATTTTTTCATCATATCAAAATCGTATAATCATGTCAATCGGCAAAACACACCTCTACAATATCGAAGACGGCATAAACCAAGGCAAGACATTATCTCTGATACTCTGGAGAATTTACTATAACCCCTTAATTAGCCATATAGTAAAATCTACTCTAGGCTATAAAACTTCAGTACAAATAACCAACATTGACCAAATACGAACTACCACAACCAATGTCATAGCTTTCATGGATGACACCACATAGATAGTACCCAACTGCACCTCCTTACAACAAATCTTGATGATAGCATCCTCATTTTACCAAATAGCAAAAATCACAGTAAACCTATCAAAATCAGTACTCTACCATAACAACAATAACGACATCTCATCTATTATCTTCCAAAACCAATCCATCATAAACTTACTGCCCAAACAAACCTTTAAATTCCTCAGAACATATATCGATCATACTATTAACAACCAATACACAATTAAAACTATTAGGAAAGAATTCTGTAAAGACTTGAACAAACTAAATCATGCAAAAATCACTAAAAAACAAGCTATATACATCATTAATATGGTGCTACTCTCTCGGCTACATTATTGGCTCACTAACACATTTCTGCCCCCACGGATACCCAATACCTCATAAGAAGTTATACTACAACAGTTAAATACAAAGCAAAATTATCTCAGGAGGTACCAAACTCCCTTCTTTTTCACCCACATACTTATGCATTAATGAATACACATCAACTACAACAATCCCACCAAGCCTTCATATTGGAGAATATGCTCAACTCGCCGGTATTACTAACCACTTTTAATATTCGACTACAACAATTACAAAATGATGTGTTATCCAACATATCCATACTATTAGAACTACCACAATTTACCCATGCTGAACTGAAGACCTTCACAGGCCAACTCATAATTAATTTACACAAGTTACAGTTAACTTTTACGCGCTTACCCAACCCATACCCAATACCACTTCCAACACCAGGGACAACAATTAACACTATTCTAACGAACATGAAGAATGGCACCCAAATAAAGGCAAACTCCACCAATACAACATCTACACTATAGAACAATTCACAAATCACGACAACTCTGAAGTCTTAGATTGGAAAAGTTTCCATTACAATATAAGAAAAATTTCAAGAGGATAAACTTCTAAGTGGTTCAAAATAATTACACAAGCAATAAGCAAAGTGATATCTTCAACCTTTATACTCATAAACTCTAATCCATTTACATGAACACCAGCAAATAATTTCTCAAAATGGATAATTACATCCCACCAAATATTTAGAAAAATAACCTTCTCTAGAGACAACTTATTCAAAATTCAACACTGGAGTTTAAACCTCGCAATTAATATCCTTGCCTCTTGTAATTACTGCCCTCTTCATGACTATACAATGAACAACATCCAGTGCTCATTGTAGAACCCAAAACATGCTACCTTCCAGATTCAAGTTTCATCAAAACATGTTTGGCATGGAAACTTAACCAACTTATTAACTCCACCACCAAACAGAAAAATTAGTACTTAACCATACCGTTACATACTTCGCAATTACTCATACTCATTTCAAATGGCTCAGACCTTCAATCAACATGCTGAGGACATATGGAAAATATATCTATTTATACCCAATGAAATGGAATTCAGAATACAACTAATCGTCAAGCCCTCTAAGGACACTCCACCTAAGCCAACAGCTACAATTTTACTAAATAACAATCATACAAAAATCATAATGCAAAACAATTTTTGGCCGAGTCCCACCAAGATCGCTATAACTGCATTATATACATTAATTACTATTATGCCCCATCACACACGAATACAACTGAATACAAATTCAACTATCTTACTCAAAATTCTACCAACTATTCTAGATACCTCTTCAATAATATCTTACACAATCTGTAAAGATCATAATATAGGATATATAACTGCTATTAGAGCTGCAATCCTCGCCAAAGATATATCTATTATGAGCACTTATATCCAAATGAACAATATAACAATAACACAAACCTCTATCAGGAAACTCGAAATAGACCCATCAATACTTCTTCACAACATATACCTCCTCAGATTTAATTACCAGCTAACATCTAACAACATAAAACTAACTATTAAAAATTTACATACTGCAACAAATATCGACAATTGGTTTATACAAAACTGTATCCAATACTAGTACACAATCACATCGAAATACAATGGCAACCTACCTTCCAATATCTGAGACACGATGATAAATCTCGCACAAGACACACCAACCCTAAATTATCCCAAATTAAAAACTTCAAATTTAAAATCCTAATAAACGAATTACCAAATCAACTAAACTTATTCAAATAGCATCCAAATACCCACACATTACCAAGTTGTAAACGATGCAATAATGCAACTGAAACAGACTAGCATTGGCTTACCTGCCAATATAATAGTACAACACTCTAAACAATAATTATGGATAAACTAACACAGCTAAAATCTAAACATAATATCAATCTTATCAATACTACCCAATTTATTCAGAATTTTATTAGTATCCACATTGTTAAACAACTACCTTTAGAAGTCATTACTGAAGAAATGCTAGTACCTACTCGAAATTATAAGACTGCAGTAAACCTCTTACCAGAATTCTATCATATAATAATCAAAGAAGTACATGGATCTATCTGGGCCCCTAGTCGAATCCCACCTACAGTCAATATTACAACTCAGCCCCCGATAACAAATATAGTAGTTCCGAAAAATCTAATCCAACTCACAACAGAAGAAAAAGCTCTACGAAGTAAAATTACCTTCTGGAAATATAAATATATCACGTATAACACTTCTTCACATGACATACTTGATTCATAGTCTAAAGTAAATTAGCTTATTCCCCACTTCCTTCAAAAATTTATGTAAACTTACTATGTAATATCTGCATAATGAATAATAAAGGAACTGAGAAAAAAGACCTCACTTAAAAAAAAAAAAAAAAAAAAAAAAAAAAAAATTTGGTATCAATACTCATACTATTATATATTAAAATCTATTCTTAACTAAGATGTCTAGTAATCAATTGTTTGAAAAAGATGCTGATGAAAATAATATATCATTTGAATATGATAGAATCTATAATTTTGACTTTAATTTTAATAAAAATATTGAAGATAGAAATAGTTTTAGTGATAAAAATGTTAATTATAATGAAGATGATGATTATATTAGTGAAAAGGAGAAAAATACTGTTAATTTTTTACCTATTATATCTTATTTTCTTTTACAAGGAACTTTGACAAAATAAATCTTAAAACAAACACAATTCAATAAAAAAAAAAACCTACTACTAGTTGGGTATGGAAATATATATGCCAAGATAAAGTAACCAAAGTCAAATATTGTAAAGTCTATATAGATCATGAAGATGGTACTTCTGAGTAGTGTAAACCCGTATTTATACTGACAACATCAACATTTAATATAGCTGCATATTTGTGCACAAAGCATTGAATTTTTAAGAACCAAAAATAGAATGCACCTTCTATACCAACTGAAAATTCCATTTTAACAAATTAGCCAACAATTGAAAAAATTATACAAAAACAGATAAAAAATAATTATTACTTTCCTAAAAAGCAACAAAATCACATAGCTTATTGACTTGTTAATTGGATTGTTGAAGAAATGATTCCATTAAATTGTATCAACAATAATTGGTTTTGAGACTTTTGTTATGAAATTAATTAATATTTTGAAGTTCCTTGCACCAATAATGTTAAAAACATTTAGTATTTTATATATATGCAATGCTAAAAGAAATGATGAGTTAAACAATGGTTTCTATCTGCCTTACCACTAATTTATAGATACAAAATCATGTTTCATATATTGGCATAACAGCTTATTGGCTTTCTGAAAACTTTACTATATGTCAATTCTTAATTACAATTAAGCATTTCCCCTATCTGCATATAGAAGATCAAATTAAAACTTTTTTGTGCAAGGTTCTTGTAAAATAAGATATAATTGATAAAATTAGTACTGTAATAACTGACAATGCACTATTAATAATAAAGACAATTAGACAATTAGGCACTTTTCACCTTGGCTGTATAGCACACACTATTCACCTCTTAATTACAGCTGGATTAAAAAAAGTTGAACCTTTAATTGAATGTGCAAAGTCACTAAATAACTTTTTAGTTAACTATAACAAATATAGATTGTTATTCTGAAAAATTCAAAGTGAAATAATTGAAAAAAAAATAATAATACAAATTAACTAACCACCAACATGTCCATTTTAAATTTTATATTAAGTGACATTGCCATTAGATAGAACTCCACCTATTTTGTTCTTTATAAACTTCAAGAACCAACTTTAAAATTGGCAACAAACCTAACAAATAATCCTGATGATACAATTTATACCAATAGTAATAGCTTAAATAAAAAAATACTTACTAATGAAGATTGGACAGATTAATTTATATTCTTGTTTAAAATTTTATATTAATTAAAGATTCCTAGCACAAAAGAACAAAAAGTGGTAAAAGTACTATGTAATAGTTCTATTGCTATTTTTTGTTATAAGAATCTTAATTATTTTGAATTTTTTTTTTTTGTTTTAATAAAAAAAAAATTCCAGATCTTGATGAAATATATCAAATGCTACATCTATTCACACAAGTATTATCATTTATAGGTGGTGACCAAAATCCAAAATTGAGTATAACAATAAAATATCTTTTTAAATTTTTAAACCAAGTAGAAGGTAAAATATACCAAGGTCTCTACATATCAATAATATCTCAATAGAATAATCTAAAAATAATTAAGTAGCTTGTGACATTTCTTGACCTCTGCTTTAAAACATTAGCAGCCATCTCACCCACAATACAAAAAGAAGTAATATAAAAGTTATATAAAAAAATTAAGCTTTTTCACAAAAAAAACACCTTACCAACTACTAATCAAGCCTTAGATACAGAAATGTCTTTTTTTTTGATAATGAAATTAAGCTTTATTCTTTTCTCAAATTGATACAGAGCTTCAACTACCATATATTCCCGAAAATAAGCTACCTTTTTTGGGCCAAAAATTACACAAAAATTCCCGAAGTAGCTTATTTTCGAGTACAATTTCAAAAGTTTGATTTTTAATTATTTTGTAAAATTCAGAGGTAGTTTCTATATATAAAAGTCAAAATTCTACTAAATAAATCGATAAAAGTCACTTAATAGAAGTTATTCAGAATACAAAAATACATATATACTAAAATTTTCAAGCAAATCAGAGAACTTTTTACTAAGATGTTTTTGCATTTTACGTCTAAATGTAAAAGTTCTCTGATTTGCTTGAAACTTTCAGGATATGTATATTTTTGTATTCTGAACAACTTCTATTAAGTGACTTTTATCGATTTACTTAGTAGAATTTTGACTTATATATATATAAACTACTTCTAAATTTTACAAAATTATCAGAGGTAATTTATTTTCAGAATAAAAAAGTTTCTTATGTTCCTCTTCCAAGAAAAGAGGAGGTAGCTTATTTTTGGAGTAGCTTATTTTCAGGAATATATGGTATATTTTTTAATTTTACCAATTCCTAAATATGATCCAAAAAACCTATATTATAAAAAGTATAATCCTTTAAGTTGGTAGAAGGAGTATAAATGTACTGTAACCGAAATAATCGGTTTAGGGTTGGGTTAGGTCTTTGTTAGAAGAGATTCAAGATGAAGAGCTTTTATTTAGATAGTTTTTAGGACATGATAGTGGATCATGTCTTTACTAAAGAGCTTTTACAGATCTTTTTATAATCTTTTTAATAATTCTTACTATTCTAAATATAATTTCTAAACTGTTTACTAGCCCTGTTATGCAAAATGATTTTATGCATAACGATTTATGCGTAACGATCATATACATAACGATTTATGCATAACGAAATAAATAACATAACTAAATAAAAGAAAATATATCTATACTATTTACAGTATAAAAGAAAAA